GTTTCCCCTGTATTGTGTACTGTCTCACCCTTCACCCAAAATACCACTTATCTATTGACACTCGGCTCCTTTTGCAGGCACATCCTCATCTGCCTGGCTGCCTACCTGGGCTGCGTGTGCTTCGCCTACTTTGACGCTGCCTCAGAGATCCCTGAGCAAGGCCCCGTCATCAAGTTCTGGCCCAGTGAGAAGTGGGCCTTCATTGGTGTCCCCTATGTATCCCTTCTGTGTGCCAGCAAGAAATCGCCGGTCAAGATCACGTGATGGCCAGGTGTGGCAGTGCTCCCGGCTTCTTTACCCTCTTGCACTGGGCTTCATTCGCTAGCACAGACAGCCAGAGCAGGGTGGAGGGGGTGTGTCATTTTAAATTCACTTGTCCTGGGCTCTAACTAGTGTGTCTGTGGGTGGCCAGGATTCCACTGTGCATGGGTAGAAGTAATTGTCTTCTTATTTCCAGATGGGGCACACATTGTATCTTTCCTGGCATCGCTTTCAGATGCAGGGGCTTGTCGTGCGGCGTCCTTTCTGGCGGTGGCAGAGCAGTCCCTCTGGGTGACCCATCACTGCGCAGTGCTTCGCCTTCTGGAGAGCTTCCCTCTCCAGACCCTACCATTCCCAGGCATTCGTGGCTAGACTCTACTGTTGATGGACAGACCCTCCAACAAGTAAGACCCTGTGACTATCTGATGGAAGATGCCAGAGATTTTCATCTGGGGAACCTATCCTTAAACAAAACTGAGCAAATGAAACATATGCAGGGCTTGTGGCCAAGGAAGCTGGTTTTCCACTTGCTCCTCTCAACGCACCCAGGTTTTACATGCCTTTGTGAATCCTAACTACCTCTGCTGAGAGATGGAGACTTGACTTCAGAGGAGGATAAAATGAGAAAAACCCTCTGTGCCAAAAACTACCTTCCACTTTAAGCCATTCTGGAAGATAAGCACAATTTCTAAAGGTTGACATCTCCCTTTTCCCACCCCATTTCCGGCTCCATAGCCTGAAATATACAGAGAAGAGTAGTTGCAACGTGAACATTCCACACATCAACCCAACTCTTCAGTGAGCTTGACCTCTATAAGATCGCCAAAGGGCTAGTTCCAGTCATGGTGGGATTTCTGGCTCAAAACTTGGAGCAAACATAAAGTTTTTTTGAGACTTTTTCTCATTTGAAGCCTCCAGTATGTTACATTATTTTGGAAATTACCTTCAAAAAGCTCGCCTCTTCTTTCTTTAATATTTACCATGGGAATCAGGTTCCATGTTCTCAGTGTTCAAGGTGCTTCCTGTGGTTTCTCACAGTGTTTGACTGTTGGCTTTTCTCAAGTGCTGGCAACAGCTACACACTGATTGGCTGATGTGGGTGGCTTACGCAGCAGGGAAAAATCTGTTGCCTTCTGAGGTTTTCTAACCTAAATTGACACTGGCTACAACTAACGTCTGCTGGGCTAAATGGAAGACTCCAAAACTGTCCGCAAGGTTTAAGGTGGGAATTACGGACCTCAGGGATACCCATTTTAACTCAGGCATCCTGCTTTATAACATTCCATTGTGGGGAGAAGGCGGGACAGACGTGTTTTTCCTGTGTGGACAGGAGTTACATCATCTATCTTAAGTATACGCAGTCCCCTGATTTGACTTACAGACAGCTTGTACTTAAGAACAGACTGCCACAAAGTCTATTGTATTAAAAATTTGAGTTAAGTACAATCGTTTGTAATAACCAGCGCATGCACTACTCTCTCTTCAGTACAGTACCATATGTAGTTAATTTTATTATTACTATATTATTATTACATACTGTATTATGTTTAAGATATTTTAGTGTATTTGGAAGTGTTTTTTAAGTGTTTTATATGCATAGAAAGGTAAAATATATACTATATACCAGGATGAACATTTGACTGACACTAAATAAGAACCGTAGGTACCTGTTCTGAGTTACCTACAGATTCTACCTAAAGACAGACTCAGGAATGGATCTCATTCATAACCTGGGGGCTGCCAGTATCTACAAGTTGGGCAGTCAGAGTTTTTGGCATGTCCAGGAATTCTTACTCTGGTTAGAATTTGCCCAGGATCCAAGGCTAAAAGCCGAGTAAGGAACTAAATTTAGAATTGAGAAATTAATGACGTTGTCTACTACTGTGATTTTCTAATTATTTTAGCAACAGAACTCTGTTTGCAGTAAGAAATCTTCATGGAACCCAGTGTAGGTTGTGTTTTATTTAAGTTTATTTTAAGGTTAATTTGTAGCATCTACTTAACAATATATCAGGCAGTGAAAACGCAAATGAACAAATTGGTGGTTTCCAAGGTAGAAAAATTTGGTATTGGTGAGTGTACATGTTGCTTTATTATCATTTAAAAAATATTTTAAAAATGATATTTGAATTAAATATTTATGGAACCTCTGATGCACCTCTATGAGACGTTGGTGGCTCGTGGAACAGAATTTAAAGATTGCTGTTAAGTCCCTTGGATTCCAAGTCAAGACTCTTCCAAAAGAGAAATGTCAGACCATCCTTACTTCAGGTTGACCTTACTTGGTGTGGTTTCTGGTCTCATCCAATTCTGCTATATAAAAATGCCCCCAAATGGGAAATTTGGGAGCATTTTAAGCCTACCTGTCTTTATTATGGAAGCAGAGATATAGGGAGATGGAGGGTGTAGGAAATGTTTTTTGTGTGAGGTTTAATTTCCGCCTAGAGACTTCCTTGGTGTTGGGAGCTTTGTCTCCACAGTCAAGAAGGGACTATTTCTCCCTGTAAAGGTGAAGAACTTGTTTCCTGGGAGACTGGTGACACCCCCACCTCCAGCCTCCTTGCCCTTTAGACAGGTTCTGAGTTCCCTTTGGAAATGGGGATATAATGTGACTCTGTTGGGCATATTTGAGTAGGCTTGGAAGTGAGTGCTTTCACTTAGAGGGCTACTTCCACTTCTCTTCTTTGAGACAAATGACTCATTGAAGATGTCAGAATGAATGCTTATGATAGGAAAAGCAGAATGCCCTTCTAGAGGTTGGTTCTAATCAGAGGGGGCTGAGAAAGAAGTATGGAATGGGGAGTATGTGGGAGAACGAAACATTACTTTTGAACAGAGATCACTGTAGTGTGCCAGCCTGGAGTGGTAAATCAAGAAAATAGGACTATCCCAATCTTATTTTAAGTTGGATTTATGGCATCACTCATATACATAAAAGCAATGCTCTTTAAAGAAAATATGGACACTTCAGAAAAGTTGAAGAAAAAAAAAAAAAGTTGTCTGTATTCCTACTGCCCAAGCACAACCACCGCTAATATTTTTGTATATTTCCTTCTTACCTTTTATTTTTGATATACTTGTAAATAGATAACTTGTAGAGCTGACAGTTTATCCTGTAGCTCGGATGGAATATAAATGCCGATTGTGTTTTTCAGAAACAGCAGGTTTTGGAATACACTCAAGTTAGCTGTACAGCTGAGTTCTAATCACTGGATTCTGAGACTTAAACACTGAGTCTTTTTTTTTCATGGAGCCTAACATGAATGGGCCCTAATAAGTAATGAACTGAGTTCTACTTTTTGATATGCTTCTGAAGTTAGATTGATGAGTTATAGGAAATAGCTGTTAAATATGTGACTCTCAAGGTTTGATATTTTCAGATTTTTTAAAGAATGAATACCTTATTCCATTCATGTGTTGTGCAATCAAGAATTTTTCTTATTTTTAATAATGCAGGGATGCGGAAATTTGACCCTTAAGAGTTAGGTCATGTTGGTTATCAGCATGGCTAATAGATTTTTATTCTGATTATAATTTTACAAGCTCAATACCCAGCAGGAACTGGATTTAGGATATAAAAAGCATTGATGTCTAGTAGTAATTTAAGTCAATGGTTCTTGTTTTACTAAGTGTTTGATTTATTGTTGATTTTTAGAAAAAGCAATCTTTTCTCTCCTCGGTAAAACAAGCACTCGGTAAACATTTTTAAGGAGTGTGATGATGAGCTGTCTGACTCCTTTCGGTAACAGGCTGTATTTTTTGGGGAACTCTGTGCCTGTCCCTCCAAAGAGTGCCTAAAACATTGATTATGGATTGAAGGTGTTCTGTCTGGGGACAAAGCTTGATGGTCATCAAACACTGGCTTTGTAAAAACTATCCCCTACTCAACTTCATTGGATTTCTTGGGTGTATAATACCTTCTTTTGCCAGTTAATCATGCTTACGTGAACTCAGAGTGGAGTGGAGAGGACGCCAAGGTTGAGGTTTTCGCCTTCCCTGGCTCTTTAACTCTTGGGGCTGACGTGGAATGATCACTGGGGGCCGGGGGAGAGCTGGGCCCTAGTTCCTGTTCTCTGAAATGAACTTGGCGCCTTTCATAGCAAGGGCTTTGTCTGGGTGCTGTTCCAGCTGATCCAAGAGGAGTCTGGGGCTAGGTTGGGATTCTCTCTGGATTTTCTAGACCTCATTATCCTGCAGACTTTTTAAAAAACTACCCCTCCTGTAAGGGACTCATTGCTTGAATTGTATCCTTACCTATATGTTACACCATATTTAAGACTGTTTTGTAACCACAATATGTAATCAGAACAAATGCAGTGTTTTCAGATGTATACCTTCTTTTCTACCAGGGTGTGAAGGACAAAGAGCAGCGTGCCTACTGGCTGTGGTAGCATCTAGTTGCCGTTGCTGTGGGAGCGATTTAAGACCTTTTGAAATGGAGCTTTTGCACTTTATGCTCTTTTTTGTGAACTGACTATGACAGCTATGTGTGATATTAAAGCCTTAAGTGGCATTTTCTGTGTCAGAATGAATATGTGTATATTGTTGCTGTTGTTCGGTGCCATCGACTTGGTTCCAACTCATAATGACCCTGCGTACAACAGAATGAAACACTGCCCGGTCCTGCACCATCCTCACAATCATTGCTATGGTTGAGCCCATTGTTGGAGCCACTGTGTCAGTCCATCTTGTTGAGGGTCTTCCTCTCTTTTGCTGACCCTCTGCTTTACCAAGCACAATGTCCTTCTCCAGGGACTGGTCCCTCCTGATAACATGTCCAAAGTATATGAGACAAGTACTTGCCATCTTTGCTTCTAAGGAGTATTCTGACTACTTCTTCCAAGGCAGGTTTGTTCCTTCTTCTGGCAGTCCGTGGTACATTCAGTATTCTTCACCAACACCATAATTCAAAGGCATCAATTCTTCTTTGGTCTTCCTTATTCATTGCCCAGCTTTCACATGCATATGAAGCAATTGAAAATACAATGGCTTGGGTCAGGTGCACCTTAGTCCTTCACGTAACATCTTTGCTTTTTAACACTTTAAAGAGGCCTTTTGCCATCAGATTTGCAGAATGAAATGCGCAGTTTGATTTCTTGACTGCTGCTTCTATGGGCATTGATTGTGGATCCGAATAAAACGAAATCCTTGACAACTTCAATCTTTTCTCCATTTATCATGATGTTGCTTACTGGTCTAGTTGTGAGGAGTTTTGTTTTCTTTATGTTGAGGTGTAATCCATAATGAAGGTTGTAGTCTTTGATCTTCATCTGTAAGTGCTTCAGGTCCTCTTCCCTTTCAGCAAGCAAGGTTGTGTCATCAGCATAATGCAGGTTGTTAATGAGTCTTCCTCCAATTCTGATGCCACATTCTTTTTCATATAGTCCAGCTTCTCGGATTATTTGCTCAGCATACAGATTGAATAAGTATGGTGAAAGGATACAACCCTGACACACACCTTTCCTGATTTTAAACCACATGGTATCTACTTGTTCTGTTTAAACGACTGCCTCCTGGTCTATGTACAGGTTCCACATGAGCACAATGAAGTGTTCTGGGATTCTCATTCTTCTCAATGTTACCCATAATTTGTTATGATCCACACAGTGGAATGCCTTTGCGTAGTCAATAAAACACAGGTAAACATCTTTCTGGTATTCTCTGCTTTCAGCCAAGATCCATGTGACATCAACAATGATATCCCTTATTCCACGTCCTCTTCTGAATCCCGCTTGACTTTCTGGCAGTTCCTTGTTGATGTACTGCTGCAACCGTTTTTGAATTATCTTCAGCAAAATTTTACTTGTGTGTGATGTTAATGATATTGTTTGATAATTTCCACATTCTGTTGGATCACTTTTCTTTGAATGGGCACAAATATGGATCTTCTCTAGTCGCTGTCTTCCAATTTTCTCAGCATAGATGAGAGAGCATCTCCAGCATTGCATCCATTTGTTGAAACATCTCAATTGGTATTATGTCAATTCCTGGAGCCTTGTTTTTAGCCAATGCCTTCTGTGCAGCTTGGACTTCTTCCTTCAATACCATTGGTTCTTGATTATGCTACCTCCTGAAATGGTTGAACATTCACCAATTCTTTCTGGTACATTTACTCTGTGTATTCCTTCCATTTTCTTTTGATGCTTCTTGCGTCATTCAATATTTTTCCCATAGAATCCTTTGATATTGCAACTCGAAGCTTGAATTTTTTCTTCAGTTCTTTCAGCTTGAGAAATGCCGAGCGTATTCTCCCCTTTTGGTTTTCTAACTTGATGTCTTTGCACATTTCATTAAAAAGCTTTACTTTGTCTTCTTGAGCTGCCCTTTGAAATTTTCTATTCAACTCTTTTACTTCATCATTTCTTCCTTTTGCTTTAGCTACTCTATGTCCAAGAGCAAGTTTCAGAGTCTCTTCTGACATCCATTTTGGTCTTTTCTTTCTTTGTAATGACCTTTTGCTTTCTTCATGTATGATGTCCTTGATGTCATCCCACAACTCGTCTGGTCTTTGGTCATTAGTGTTCAATGTGTCACATCTATTCTTGATATGGTCTCTAAATTCAGGTGGTATATACTCGAAGTTGTATTTTGACTCTTGTGGACTTGTTTTAATTTTCTTCAGCTTCAGCTTGAACTTGCATATGAGCAATTGATGGTGTATGTTGGTGTCTATTTCCAAAAGCAATGATTTTTTAAATATCTGCAGTGAAAATGCATTTAAGGGAATGTGGATCAACGCCCTTTTGCCCAAATTCATTGCTTAATGGGTATCATTGTTATTAAGAACCAAACCAAACCGGTTGCCGTAGAGTTGATTACAACTCATAGCGACCCTATAGGACAGAGTAGAGCTGCCCCATAAGGTTTCCAAGGAGCAGCTGGTGGATTCGAACTGCCAATCTCTGGGTTAGCAGTTGAGTTCTTTGCGCCACCAGGGCTCGTTGTTATCATCATTATTAAACATGCTTAAAATTAGTGAATTGTTGGTCTCAGAGTCAGAAATTAATACACCTAAATATATCCAGTGGAAAATATCTCCAAGAAGTTTATTTTTATTAAAAGTTACTATGTCATATGGATACAAAATCTTAAATGCAGAGAACAGTTTTCACCCGATCACTGGAAGGAAAGTTGTGTGACATTTCAAAGTAGTAAATGACTTGTAGGAAAATTCTGTATTTACCTATTTATTTTTCTTAATTGCCTGTGAAAGTTTTTTTATAAAATGATTCATAGGCAGTCAGGTGTAAATATATAGTAGGAAAAGATCAGAACAAACAAACAACAGATTGGATAAGGGTAATCGGTATCATTACAGTGTTTTTTTAAGACTTTTTTTTTTTTTTTTCCAGAGCAGGGAGGCATAGGACCATCACAGAGTCCTTGGAAGATCTGATGAAAGCAGTGAATCTGCTCCCTAGAAAAATGCCTGTACGTTTAATTTTCTGGGAGTTCAGAAGTCCCTAGAAGCCCACCCAGGAAAAAAAACTCTGGGTGACAGGAGCCTTTAAGCAAGAATTCGAATGCTTTCTGGGGCTAAAATTGGTTATCTCAATCCTTGGGAGCTTTTGGCTGAGGCTTTTCGAGGCCGTGGTTAGGAACCGTGACTGAGGAAGTTGGGGTCCTACTTGGCAGGGGGGCGGTGTTATCAAGCCCAAGACAGCACCCTTGCTTTTCTCGCTCCCCATCTGGCACTGCCCACTCCGTCTGCGGGAGCCCTCTTTTCCCAAGCCTGGCCCCGAGTGGATGCTATTTCCACAGCTCCCATGTCCCTGGTGGTGCAATAGTTAAGTGATCATTACTAAACAAAATGTTGGCAGTTTGAACCCACTCAGAGGCTCTGTGGGAGAAAGACCTGGTGATCTTCCATAAAGATCACAGCCTAGAAAACCTTATGGGGCAATTCTACTCTGTCACATAGGGTCACTATGAGTTGGAATATACTCCATGGCACCTAAAAACACCTTTCTCAACTGCCCTCAAACACCATTACTGCAGACTGGCCT